CATTCTTTTGATACTAAGTAGCAATCAAGCCTTTCTGTTAAAGAAGGATAAAAAATACAATTTCTAAAAATTTTACTTTACCAAAAATAGTTTCTGATAATTTTAGCAAACACAGCACAGTTCTGCAAACTACAATCTTTAAATAATCAAAGAGAGTCTTGAAGGTTCTCACTGTCTTCTAACCCTCCCTGCCCTCATTCTTCTCCACTGTTGCTCCACCCCCACTTTTGCTACCATACACTGTAAGTGGAACAAAAGCAAGTCAGTGAGAGTCTATGGATGAGAAAGAAGCAATAAACCAAGAAATGATCTTAAGGATAACAACAGTATGTTTTTACTTAACAATTAGTTTAGAAATTATTGCACAGGAGACCTGGCTAGGAATGAATTCATTTATTGCCCTCTCAGGTCAAAGATCTTGGAGACAAATTGGGCCTGGGGATGAGAAATGCTAGCAGATACCATTAATGCCATTTGTGGATAAAGAGAACCTGGTCCCTTCAGATGCTAAAAGTTGATGAAATATAGCAAGACAGAATGATAGAGTGGAAAGCACACTGAGCTTTGCATTAGGAAACCCAGGTTCAAATCTGGGCTGACAGTAACATGCTCACTAGTCCAACAATTCATAATCTTACCTCTCAGGGCTTCATTTTTTTTTTTTTTGTAAAATGGGGAAAGTAATATTTTCACTACTTCATGGGATTTTTCTGATGAGCACCACATAAACATGAATAAGTATTATTGTATACTACTTCATATTGGTATGGTATTTTATATAACAATTCATAACCAAAATGAAAGGAACCTCAGACATCATCAAGTCCCACAGACAAGAAAACCAAAGCTCAGAGAGGTGTCAAATGACTTACCCAAGGTCACACAGCTTGCTACTTAGTGACAAAAGCAGAACTAGAACTCAGATCTCATGATTTTCCATCAGCATACTTACCACTCTCCTGCAGCTGCCTCTCTTTACACAATCTCACCAACAATGTGCACCAATAGTCCTCAAATACTCAACTTATCTACCCAAATAAAATATGACATCTTATCCCTGCAAGAATTTAGGCAGATGTGATCCAGAATTAAGTAGCCCTAAATAAAAGCTTTCAGCAGAATTGTTTAAAATTTTAAAGTCAGTCTTTATTCTGCATAAAGTCACCCAACTGATTCTAAACCTAATCTGTCACCAAGAATCCTCTCAAAATCAAACCACTCATTAGATAACAGGATAATCTACATATCTGACACTTTCTATTCTCCCCTTCTTCCTAAAAATCCTACCCTTGGCTTTCATGTCTTCAAGCCTGCTTCTTCTCTTCTGCCTCTAATGATCACCTATGGTCCAGTTCTTGCTCTTTAATTCTTCTCATTCTGTATTCTCTTCCTTCAATTTCATGGGTTCAACTCCCATCTACACAAACCTCTACCTCCAACTTCACTCCCTCAGTTTCATATCTCCGTGACTTGAGGAATACATTTGACAAAGAAAACTTGAAATGTTAAAAATAAATTAATAATGATAACAGTTCACATTTTTGTGGTACTATGAGGTTTACAAAGTGCTCTTCTAATGACAATTCCAAGAAGCATACATTTTATAAATGAAGAAAATAAAGATAACAGGTGAAGTGACTTGTCCAAAGTCAAACTGCTCATTAGTAGCAACTGGCTACTCAACCCAGATCTTTTAACTTTAGAGCCAATGTTCTTTCCACTACAGCACAGTTGCTTGAGGACTCCCTCCTGCCCTTTCACCTTCCAGAAGGCCCTGAATTTTAAATTTGATTATTTTTCACTTCTTTCTCTTTTTTTCATCTTGTGCCTCCTCACTATCAATCCAAGTACTAAGTTCAATAAATTTTAAGAAGAAAATGTTAAAGTTGGAAGGTACCTTACAAATTATCTAGTCTATTCTCCTCCTTTTACAGATAAAGAAACTGAGCCTCATACGTCAAACTACTTGCCCAAGTTCACACGGCAAATCAGTCAGTCATGAAGTTATAAGTGGAGCCCAGGTCTCCTGCTTGCTAGGCCTGCGCTCTTTCCACTATAGGTAAAGGGAACCTATGCCCTAAGAATGCCAGGGCACTTTAAACAGGAAACTCTACAGTGCCTCTGGATTTATACCTCTCTTTCCACAGATAGACCTCTTCCAGATTGTATTGTCTCTTGCCTGCATTATTCTAATGGAGAGTCTGGTAGGTGGTCATCCCTCTTCCCTCCAAGTTCTTCCGTCTTTAATACATCATATATATATATAACAACTGCTGTTATGAACAGCCTTCTATAAATCCAATTTCCTTTACCTCCTATTTAAGAACCTATAATTGATCCTTGCGTTTTCATATACAAAGTTCTTTGACTAGTATTTAAGGCTACCACGCAGTACCATACTGTTTATGTTAAATCCTTTGTAACAAGGATCACCTCTGCATTTTGCCAACAATCCCCCATCCCATACCTTTCTAACCTCATCTCAGCATTCCACAAGACGGCTGTTGTCCTCTAGCCAAACCAATCTGTTTGTTGTCCTCTCCATTCAACTCTGTGCCTTTGTCCTTGGCAATACTCTTCTTTTGGGCCTGCATACCACTACTGTTCCTCAAGATGTGGTTAAAAACTCACATCCTATGGTAAAAAGAATTCTAGATTTAGAGTTTTAGGACCTGGGTTCAGTTCCTGTTTCTGCAGCTTACTCCCTGTGACCAAACAAGTTAACCTCCACCTCAGTTTACTCTATGGTAAAATAAAGAGAGTTAACTAGATGACCTTGAATGTTCTTTCCAGCTCAAAATATGTGATGCTAGAATTTGATTCTAACCACATCCTGTATTACCCCATTCTGATTCACCTTTAGGTACAAAAAGGATACAAAATAACACAGTGAGTATGTATTTTTATTTTTCACTTACTGACATGTTACTTTGCAACTGTCCTCAAGGTAGTTCAAGTAAATATTCTGAAATTTCCTATGCTATAATCTCCTTGTTGTAGTCAGAGAGTCTGGCCTCTAAGAATGTCCCAACCAACAGTAAGTGCTCAAAAGAAGCTTATTAATAAGTTCCACCTGCTTTTTGGAGAGGGGGGGATGGAAGAGTGTCCAGATTTGAGACTTTATCAGTGTGGAGAATGTCCTTCACTGGTGCAAATCAGCAACTTGTCTACTATAAAGTTTTAATCCAAAAAGCTATTTTATATTATGATTATATTGTTCAGTTGAGTCTGGCTCTCTTTACCACCAAATGGGTGGGGCTTGCCATTTCCTTCTCCAGCTCATTTTATAGATGAGGAAACTAAGGCAAACAGGGTTAAATTATTTGCCCAGGGTCACACAGCTAGTAAGTGGCCATATTTGAACTCAGGAGGAGAAGTCTTCCTGACCCCAGGTCAGGCACTCTATCCACTGTGCCACCTGAAAGGATATTAAAGTGCCAGAATATTGTATCTAAAATGTTCAATTTAATGTTGATAAAATTTACATGGAGGAAGAAAAAAGTCTCTATTAATCAGAAAGAAGTTAGTTGATTTCTCAGATATACAAAAGCCTATAAAATATATCTGGTAACCTCATCTGGCAAACAAATACAATGGCGTGAACCACTGTCAATGACTGGAAGAGGTTTATTAGTTTTAAGACTATTTATTATAAACTAAGATTTTTAAACCAGAAATAAAATCTAAATAACATTTCTGTTGCATTCATTGACATTATTATTATTTACTTGGAAGTTACACTTATTATCAGATGTTTCTAAAACCTTGGCAGAATAACCTTGTTTATTTAAGCTCAATCTGTTTATCAAATCTCAATTTTAATACACATACGTATTTAGTCTACAATACACTTACACATAATAATCAAGCCATGTCTCCTATTTTTTTAAAGTCACATCTTCTAACTACAAGATATATATGAACCTATTACTGTTTCTAAATTATTACATATCTACAGGACTTAAAGGGACCACTTCATTTTACTGACAAACAGAAAGCTTAAGTGTCTTGCCTAAGGTCACAGAGTTGGCAAAAGCTGTGACAAGAACTCTGGTTTCTTGACTTCCCCACCACCACATCTAGAGATCACAACAGCTAAGAGAAACTCTTACAACATTCAACATTCATTCACTAAACTTTAGGCAAATACCTACTATGTAGTAGCAGCAGGCACCTGCTAAATGCTGAGGATACAAAAAGGAAAAGGAAAACAGACTACAGTAAAATACAAACTTGGCTTATCTCACTTTCAGTTGTATTTCTAAAGAACACCTTCCTGTAAATAGAACTTCTGAAACATAAGAAAGGAAAGTAAAACAAACATACACACACACATACATACACATACATATACACATACATACACACACACACACACACACACACACACACACACAACCCCTAAGTGAAAAAAAGGTCAGAGCCAAGGACATCAGTCCTGAAGTCTAAGCAGACTTCAAGATTGCAATATAGTGTAGGATGTCCTTTAAACAATTCTAATATTCTTTAAAGAATTTGATACAAAGATAACAATAACAAATTGTTTTTAAAAGCACTGTCAAATACCAATGAACTCAGAGTAAACAAAAAAGGGTTACAAGTTATCAACTTAGTAACAAGCTGCATTTCTTATTTACACATGAAGGCGAGGATACTTATGATCAAGAAAACTATACACATTTCCAAAGGAGAAAGAATTTCAGGTACTATAACTTATTAATTATTCTCTTGAGAGAATGAATACAAGCAAATTGTATAACTAAGTGGTAGGAAAATTGAAAATTCTTTTACTATCTTTCCCATAGGTCTCAGTAAATACATCTCTGAAAAAAATTGTAGAAAATGTTTAATGACATTTCTCTAGTATGTCTGAGAAGCAGAACCATGAGATGTATTGTTCAGCTCTATTTTGAAAAATAATAGGCCATTTTTGAAAGTTAAGGCCTAACCACGGCTCCATGTGAATCCCAATTAAAACTATGACGCATAAACAAGTTTACCTGCAGGAATATGTTTCTTAACTCATGAGGATCACCTCGCTTGGTTGTCTGCACCTGTAAGGCCAAAAAAAAAAGGCTGGTTAATGTTTCACTAGAGAAATTTACTACAATCTAAGCAGATAAGAATTCACTTCCAGACAATCAATGTGCTTATCTCCTTAATAAGTGTATTTAGTTTAAATTCAAAACAAAATAAAAAGACACCAGCTGTTGATTACAGCTGTCACATGGGATGGCTGTGACCTGAAGGGCTGAAGGATAACTAGTAGTGTGAAAAACTGGAGGAAGCTGCAAATTGCGTGTACAATGCTTCTGTAACAGAGAAGGTGGGTACAAAGATTAAGTAGTTAAATTTTTTTCCCATTCTGCTAGCAACGCAGTAGCAAACGCCCACCTCCACACCAAGAGGCCAGGAAGGGGTCAGCAACCGGGAAGTCAAAATGCCCAAGTTACTCATGGCCTAGCAGCCTTCCCAGTGGAAAACGATCCTGCTTAAAACATGATGCCGGTGAAATGAAATAAAAAACGAAGTCTTTTTTTCTACTTCCAATGAAGACTGTAGCAACATTCTCAAAAACTCTCAACTCTGCAACCTGCACTGCTAATAGCAACGTTGGCCCCTGATTACTGAAAAAACGCCCCTAATTACTGCACTGAGGCCCCTAATCAAAAAATATCCATTCCCTTCCCCCACTGCAAGTCCCCCCCACCCCCCACCTTGGCCTGACATGCAACTTCCTCCCACCCTCTTTCCGCCACAATTTCCCCAGGCTCACGGATGTATGCCCCCGAATCCACTCCCTTGGCAGGGTGCCGAACCAGCTTCATGGTCCACACAAGACCCTCAAACTCCCTGTCCCTCCTCCTACCCTCCCCCGGGCAAGCATCTTCTCCTCCCAACCCATGCACAGATTCCCCCCGACCCAGGAGCTGGAGTCCCGAAATGCGTTTATCGGAGAGCGAAGCAAAAAGGGAAATGCGAAAAGAGAATAAATTTTAAAAAAAAAGCCCCGGTAACGTTTCCTATGCCATAAGCAGCAGCAGATAGTTGGAGTCACCTTGACCGCCATGCTGTGCTCAGAAGCCGGGAGCGAGCAAGTGAACGAGCCAGCGAGTAGAGCTGTCAGGGTGCGCGCGCGCCGCCTCCCTGGCCCAAGGCGCGCGCCCCCCTATGCAAATGAGCCCTGGGAGGACTAGGACTTGGACCCCGCTGGGCAGGGGGCTGTCCAGGTGCGAGGTCGCTAGGCCAGGAGGAGAGCGATCAGACTGAAGAAACTCAAGCTTGGAGGGTCGCGTGCTATGGCTGAGCTGAGTTTGCTGCTGAGGGGCCCAGAGGCCGCCGCCACCACGGAGAAAGCGCTGGTTCTCCTTGGGCCTCTTAGTGGGTGTGGTTTTGCACACTGTCTCGGGCAAGACTTGGGCTCCAGCCTCTGAGTCGTTTTATCCCGACATAGGCCAGATTCCCAGAGGTTACACAACACCACCTATTATTATTGTTGCCGGTAATAACACAATAAATAAAAATAATAAATAATATTGATAACAAAGATTCAGTATTGTTTACATTGGGGAGGATTTGAAGGCAAGATAAGATGATTTGATGAATGATTTTCTGACTGGAGAAGGGCTGGGCTCCACGTCAGTGAAAATCCAGTTAACTTTTGAACTTTCTGCTATTGCAAGGTCCTATTAGCAATATCTTCCCTCCTCCCCAGCTTTCCAGGATTCAGCCTGTGTCCAGTGAGTACAGATAATCTAGAAGTAACTTCAAGCTCCATCCAACTTAGAAAACAGAGATGTATATTCCCCCCTCACTTCCTAGATTTTTATTAAATTAAAATTTTCGTTGTCTCTTTATAGCTTGGAAAGATTTGCGTTCCTCCCTCCCTGACTACCTCTACCACACCCTAACCATATGATAACTGATATTTGCTTTTAATTGTCTAAAGATTACTGCAGTTTTATAAAATCAAAAAATTACAAAGTAGAAAGGAAGATCACAGGTCAGGTAGTCCAAACACTCCCTAAACAGAAGTACCCTCTACATTGTCTACAACATACCTGACAATCATCCAGACTCTACTAGAAAATCTTTAATGATAAGGTACTCTCTTGCCTTCTGAGATTTTATTCTACTTTTGGAAAGCTTAAGCTGTTCGAAAGTTTTCTTTATTTTGAATTAAAATCTGCCTCTCTGCAACTTGTACTCATTACTTCCAGTTCGGACTTCTGGGACCAAGCAGAATGCATCTAAAACCTCTCTGTATGTCAGCCCTTCAAATGCGTGTAGACTGTGCCTTCCCTCTCTTCCTGTCTTCAGACTTCATTTCTCCTGCCTCATACCCTTGCTAGCTGTGGAATGGTGGGCAAATTATTTTACCTTTCTGCTCCTCAGTTTCTTCATTTATAAATTGGGCACAATAGCACCCCTGATTCCTAATGGAGTTGTTGTAAGATTCATGACATAATATATATTTTTGTAAACTTTAAAGCACTACATAAATGTTATTGTATTATAATTCTCTAGACCAAAGATCCCTAGTTTCTTCAACTAATTTTCATATAACATGACCTCCAGTGCTCTCACCATCTTTGTCATCCTTCCCTGGAAATCCTCTAGCTCAACAATATTAGTGATATTGTTAAAATATTAATGATCTGGTGTCAGTAACTGAAGTCTGTATTAAGATGCGATCTGACCAGGGACAATGGAACAGTCACCTCCCTTTTACTTAACACTATGCCTCCATTAAGATAACTCAAGGTAGAAAATATGGAATCAGAAGGATGGGGTTCAAATTCTGCCTCTGATAATTACTATCAATCAACCAATCAATAAATATTTATTAAGTGCCTACTATGTGCCAGGCACTGTGCCACTGTGCACTGGGGATTCAAAAAGGCAAAAGATAGCCCTTGCTCTCAAAGAGCTTACAATCTAGTAGGGCGACAACATGCACACAAAATTATACAAAACAAGCTATATTCAGGATAAATCAGAAATAATTATCAGAGAGAAGGCACTGGAATTAAGAAGGATTAGAAAAGGCTTCTCAGGGCAGCTAGATGGTGCTGTGGATAGAGCACTGGCCCTGAAGTCAGGAGGACCTGAGTTCAAATCTGGCTTCAGACATTTGACACTAGCTTCGTGACCCTGGGCAAGTCACTTAACCCCATTGCCTAGCCAAAAAAAAAAAAAAGAAAGAAAGAAAGAAAAGAAAAGGCTTCTTATAGAAGATGGGATTTTAGATGGGACTTAAAGGAAGCCAGAGAGGTCAGTAGTCAGAGTAGTCAGAGTAGGGAGAGCATTCCAGGCATGTGGGGCAACCAGAGAGAATGCCTGGAGCTGAGAGATTGGAAAATCTGGATCTTGGAACAGCCAGTATAGAAGTGTTACTTGATTGAAGAGTCCCTTTTAGGGAATAAGGCATAAAAAGACTGGAAAGGTAGGAGGGGGCTAGGTTATAAAGGGCTTTGAATGGCCAAACAGAAAATTTTCTATTTGATCCTGAAGGCAAAGGGGAGCCACTGGAGTTTAATGAGTTGGGGAGTGTGTGTGTGTGTGTGTGTGTGTGTGTGTGTGGCAGGATCAGACCTGTCTGCACTAGAGTGGTGGCAGTGTCAGAGGAGAGAAATGGACATACCAGAGATGTTGCAAAGGTGAAATTGACAGGCCTTGTCAACAAATTGAATATAAGGGGTGAGAAATAGTGAGGAATTCAGGATGACCCCTAGATTGTGAGCCTGAGGGACTACCATGCAAACTCCTGGTGAGGGTGGGCCAAAGGCCCCTCCACAATCTGCCAGAAGCTTGTCCTCTTTATACAGTGCTAGGCAGGCCAGAAAGACCTTGAGCCTAGTGATTTACCTTGCCCTACTGGTGCCTTTTGCAAGTGTTTCAGCTTTAGCTACACTGTTAATTAACAGTTCTTCTCCTCATCATGTTGGTAGCAGATCAAAACGTGTAGAAGATCTGTATAAGTATATTCATTTTGGGAAACAGAGTTCTTCCATTATATGTTATTGCACCTTTCTGGATGCAGATTCCCTAATCCCTTCCATGGATAGTCCTCAGACTTCTTGTGACACATTCATACACTATAATTTCCTAATTTGTTCATCTGTTCCCCAATTGATAAGTATACTTACTTTCCAGTTCTTTGCCACTACTAAAAGAGCTGTTATTGTTAGTCAGCTTCTTCTTTCTTTAATCTCCTTACTGTATTGACCTACTAGTGATATTGCTGAGTCAAGGATTATGCAATGTGTAATGACTTCAGGGATTGCTTTCCAGAATAATTGTATCAATCATAGCTTTACCAACAGTACCTAAAAATCTGATAAGTATCTATACTTTCATCTAAATCACTGATGAAAAAATGCTAAATATAAAGTCAAGGATAAAATCCCTTTATTATTCTACTACAGGTCTCCCTTCAAGTTGATTTAAAGAGAACTGTTAGACTACTCTTAGAGTCCTGTTATTCAAACAATCCCAATCTAGCCGTCTCTCCTCCAGAGCCATTACAGTCCAGTGGCAGGATAGAGTCAAGATGACTGGTGATGGCTCAAGATGCAGTGGACGACCTTGACATCTTCAATGTCTAACCAAGCTCTAAGCATTCCACAACACCTGCTTCAGCTGCCTTCATGACTGTTGAAACAAATTGTTCTCATCCATCCATTCCACCAGGGGAAGGAGGAGAGAGTGAGGCCAAAGACTTTGTGCAACTCTGCCTCACTTAAATCCAATTTAAGCACGAATCAAAAAAGAAAAATCTAGCTCACATTGATCCATTGGATCCCTAAGGATATAATAAAAAACTCTGAAATCTAGATTAAACTAGGTCCTCTGATCTAGCAAACCTGCCAAAAAAATGGAATGATCACCATTTCTTTTTCTTAATGATCATGTCATCTCTTTAATAATATATTATTGAATATGTACAGTCTTCCTTTTTTTTTGCAGAGGTAGAGTATGATTATGTATTACTGCATATACTGTCAGATTCCATTGTGTTGGCTAGTTTTACTGAACTGTTTGCCCTCCCTCTCTTTTTTAAGTTATTTGTTATATGGGATGGTTTTTTGGATAAGGTGGGATATATTTGAAAATGAAGGCAATATAATAACAAAAAATGTCAATAAAATATTTAAAAATAATACTGATGATTTTTTTGTGAATAATCAAAATCAAGGTCACTGTTTCTCTATAGTATGTAGTATACAAACTCTTTCCTTTTTTTGAAAATTGAGACATTTGCCCATATCCAGTGCTACAGCACCACTCTTCCTATCCAAGATTTTTCAAAGATCGCAGAAAATGATTCAGCAATCACATCCCCCAGCTCTTTCAGAACTCTGGGATGTAGTGACCTTAACTCACAGAAGTCAGTTAAGTGCTCTCCTACCATCTCCTCACTTATCTTGAATTTCAATTCCCTGTTAACCATTTTGTTCTCTTCTGCCCAGTCTGAAGATATTTCTCTTTTTTAGAGAAAACAGAAAAAAAAAGAAAACAGAAGCAAATTAACTGAATAGTTCGTGTTCCCTATTGTCATTGACTCATCTACTCTGAGACATAGATATTTTCCTTCTTTGAATTTCATTTTACTCCCCAACAGAACTGAAAAAAAACTTTTTATTATCCTTAGCATTTACCACCAGTTGTGACTTATTGTGAGTTTTAAAGTTCCTTACACCATCCTTATTGGGCCATGCCATTCTTTTGTAATCATCCTTAGTTTTCCTTTCTTCTATCAAAACTGTACATGTCATTTAAAAATCTTAGCTGGTCAAATCCTTATGCATCCACACAAATCTATTTAGACAGGTCAGACTTTTCCATCTCATCAAAACTATTTTTATTTGTTTTCAGAATTTCATTTCTCAATGCAATTACATGTTCTTGAAAATTTCTCATCCCATTTGGCTCAACTTCCTCTATAAAATTTTAGGTAATGGAAGTCTGCTTCTCCTTTCTCTGAAATCATCAAAGTTCACTCTTCCAAAATAAAATTCATTTGATTGCATCAGTACTTTATGCCCCATTTCCATTCCAAAATAGATATCATTTAAGTTAAAAAAAATAATGAAATTAGAAATGAAAATAGAATTTTCTGTTGGCAAGAAAGCCATCCCTGCATATACTGTCAGATTCCATTGTGTT